ATGATTCCTGAATGAGGAGCTGATGCCAGGGGCTTAGGTGGAGAAGCAAACGTTTTGAGAATGATGAGGGTAACGAATGCACACATGTGCTTTACATAATTGATGGGTGTATGGATTGTGATTAGAGTTGTATGAGGCCCCATAAAATGATTTAAAAAAAAAAAGATTCCTGAAAGCGTCCGACCTCCGCACAGAAGGCATCACCGATGGCCGCCTGCGGTGAACTACCGTAAGCTGGGCGCAGACGCGTCACCTCCACAAGCGAAGGAGGAAATGCGTTCGGTGCCTGTAAAGGCTTTGGCCCTCGCCGGCCGCCGTAGGCAGAAGACCTTCCGGGTCAGGGGGCGCGAAGCCGGAACCATTAACCGGAGTTCGAGTAAGTGCCCCCTTTGGGAACTTGTGGTGTCCGCGAGGGAAGCGAGCGGGTCCTCGGGTGTGTTGCCCTGGGAGCGGCGGGGTGGGCTGTTGGGGGCGCGCAGGTGCCTTTGGCCAAAGCAACGTGAAGGGTTGCAAACTCGGTCGACTGAGGGCCAGCAAAGCTGGTTAGTAGAAGCTCAGGAGGGGCGCAGGGAAAGGGTTACAGAGTGGCAGGGGTCGTGAACAAGTTCCGCGGGATTAGGAAGGGGAGGTAATTCATTGATGACTTATTATGGGGTATTGGTTTCTTTTATGATTGCACCAGAGAAACTTTGAACGGTCAGACTGATAAAGGGTCCAAAAGGGTGCGTTCCCGGGTGGGGCGAGTAATTGGCAATCAGCGGGTGGCGCAGTGGGTTAAGCGTGTGTGTGTGTGTGTGTCTGCAAACGACACGGTCCGTGACTCAAACCCAGCACAGCAGCCCAGCGCTCCCAAAAGACAGACGAGCTTGTCTCTCCTCCTGTGAAGATCCCCAGTCTTGGAAGCCCTATCGAGCGTTGCTAGGAATTGACTCACGGGCAGGGGTGTGTGGGGTGGTTTGGGTGGGGGGGTTGTTGGTTGATCGATTGGTTCACATGAAAATTGGGCGGTTGGAGCCCGAACAACCGTCCCGGGTAGAGAAAGCCTGTGGTCTGTTCCCAGAGCAAGTTGTTAGCTGCGATGTGTATTGGGATGGATTTCAACTGAGAGCTGCCCCACGTGATGGGGAGTTTTCGTGGCAGTCGTCTTTACTGGAGCAGATCCCATGCCTCTCCCCCTGGGGTTCCATCTGCCGACCCTCAGGTGCACAGCTGAGTCCTTACACTGTGCCCCGCCGGGGTTCCTTCTTGCACCCTCCAGGCTCCTCAGAGATTAGACTCAAGAAAACGATGCAGCACAGTGCGACTCTGTTTTATATGGGGTTGCCCGTGACCCCATGGCAGCTATAAACAGCACCATCATCTCTTGAGAGGTCCCTCCTTGCCCAGGACTCCAGCATCAATGTGTGCAGCTCTGAAAAAAGAGCCCCAGGAAGTGTCCCAGTTCACCTGAGAATTGTGGGGAACAGCACCAGGAAGGGAGTGATGTGGGCAAGTTCTATATTCTCAGATTGAACAAGCCCGGCACGCCGGGATTGTGAGTGGAGGGAGGCCTTCATATTTGTGAGTTGGAGATGAGGCCCAGTCACATTCTCATAATGAATAATCATCCCCACAATATCCTCCCATTATAGTGCTACCTTACATGTGATACTTCTTACAAGCACGGGGCTGATTGCTATCCAGCCGGCAGTTTTATCTGTAGGAGCAGACATGTTGCTACTGTTCTCCCTGCTCAGGGGACAGTCACTCCCCTTACCTGCCCCCAGCACTGGTGTTAGGTTACTCCTCCAATGAGCTCAGGGCTCTGTAAGGTTAGGGTACAGCCCACTTGGTTATGTATGTGGGTACCTGTAATTATGGAGGCTTGAATGCCCCAAGACTATATAAGTTGGTGTAAGAATACATTCTTTCTCTCTCTCGCTGTCTTGGACCTGATGCCATGGAGGAGGTGAGCACCCCAAATTTTTTGTCTGCCTCTTAATTTCTTCCCTTCAGTTACACAACCATCCCTTAGGACCCATCTGGATATGGGCTGGATCTCACAGAGCGTAGCTGGAATTTATGGCCGGAATTTGGGCATTCAACAGAAGGAAGACATAGGTTGGTGCTCCCTTGTATTACGGACAAGGACGCCCCAATCATCAGGGCTGGGGTCATTGTGACTCACTGTAAGGAGTGGAGGTGGCACTGCGACATCTAATTGGGGAGTTAATATGTGGCTACAACCATGTTGGGGGCGAGGATGGACACCAGGTTCAGAGTTTGTATTGATACAGGGCTGGGGTGCTCTGCCTGGGATCTCTGGCTGGTTGGTGGTTGGGTTGAGAGTCAAACCTTAACTGGTGGTGCACAAGCCAGTCCAGGCCTTGGGCAGTAGTTGGAAAACCTTGAGTTAGATAATCCTGTCTTTTCTCCTCCAATGCATGCATTGCCTAAGTACAGGTGGAGGGACCAATTGGTTCGTATCTTGTCTGTGGCTTCTTTCCTACCACAGACTGAACAACAGTCCATTGTTTGAATCTCTGTAACAAGAGACCTTCCAGCCAGCAAAGGTTCACAGACATGCACACATTCTACATTGCCGACAGTATCTCGACTTTGCTAATTGTTTATCCCTCTGGCAAACTGGCCCATACCCCCATTTCTTAGTAAGTCCCTGTGCGTTGTCTTTGTTATTCGGCTCCATGGGGCTGGTTCCGACTCCTAGCGCCCCTGTGTACAGCGGGATGAAACACTGCCGGGTCCTGAGCCTGCCTCATCATCGTTCTTAGGTTTGAGCCCATTGTTTCAGCGTCAGGGCCAGTGAATTATTTACTGTGGCTCTTCCAACGAAAGTCTCTAACTCCCACTAAAGGGCCTTTCCCTGTACGAGTCTGGTAAGAAGGTGGGGAAAGATACTGATAGGATTCACCTGGGAGTAATTGAGAACAGGTGTCCCTGGCCTGTCATCCTGAGGTGTATAGAATGAGTCCTCTGAGAAGCAGGTGGAGGGATCTTATTACCAGCAAGACCCAGGAGTGGAGCGTGTCCTCTGGGCCCAAGATCCCTGCACAGTGACCCTCATGGATCCAGATGGCAGCTGGAACATCAGCAGAGCAGCAGCAACAGAACTAGGAGTCAGAGCGTGGCAGAGTGGTAGACTTCCCAACCCACATAGCAAGTTAAGATGAGGGCTTTTGTGCAGGAACTGGCTTGTGGGGTGCTGTGCCTCTGGGCACTCATCAGGAAAACTAAAGCGCCTTTTCACACCTGTTCAAGCTGGCAGAGGCCAGACTGGCCTACGGCTCTGAGGGCTGAGGGGCACACTTGTGGGTGGGGCTGAGAAGAAGCTGTCTTGACCAAAGATCTGTATCCTTACTCTTCCCTGATTCTGAATGGTAACTTAGTACTTCTCTATTAAACTTCATGATTCTGAGTGTAGTGTGAGTTCTGTGTGGTCTTTGCAATGAAAGATCAAACCTAGCAGCGAAATGAAGGGCTCTGGTGCCAACCACAAGGTCAGCAATTCAAACCCACCAGCTACTCCTTGGGAGAAAAAAGAGGCTGTCTACTTGCACGAAGATTTCCAGCCTCAAAAATCCGCCAGGGGGCAGTTTTACTCTTCCTATTGGGTCACTAATAGGTCAGCGTCAACTGGGATGCCAGCTATTAATCATTCACTTAGTCATTTTGGGTCCAATTCCCATGAGCAGTTGTCAGAGGAAACCAGCCTCTTAACAACTGAAGGGTCTGTATGCGCACTTGTATGGCGACAATATATAAAGATTATAGTAAAATCATCGAGAAGAGGAAAGATAGGAGAGAGACTGAGATAAAGGAGTCAGACACATTTTAGGGTAGCATGCTCACCTCAGCCCCTCTTGGTGGTCCACATGGTGGTGGGAGAAGAGAGGAGCATCTACTCACTTATAGGTCGCCATTAGACATGCATATTCTGCAGTAAACGTGTGTCACAAGGCGGGTGGTAACTACAGTAAGGTCCCTGAGCTCGCAGGTGAGGAAAACTCATACCTGCATTGGGGGAAGGGATGAGGGGAGCTGGGCGACATGGAGGGAAGAGAGCAACGGGGTGTCTGCTGCTGTAGGGAGATAGCATCCACCATGCGCTCACTTTAAGGCAGCATCTCTGTTAGGGGAGACTGTGGGAATGCTATTTAAAGCAGGATCATGCACTTGGACTTTACCTCTAACCTACCAAAGTGGAAGCTTTCCTACCGTGGAATACCAGCTTTCCTGATTCCCTCTGTGATAAGTTGGGGAGTCTAGTCCTCGTCCTATTTCTCTCCGTGTGAATTTCCCACAACTGATCTTTTCAAAGAAGAGGCCTTTCTGTTGTCGCTCCTTCATTTCTTTTTAGATTTTTTTTCTAAATATATATATCTAAGAGGTGAGGGGAGAGGGGCCCAACCACACCTTAGGGCATTGCCAGCACCCAATGTTCCCAGCTGTGGCCAGACCTCACCCCTGAAGGGAGTTACCATCCTCGTGTGTATAGGAAGCCCTCCTACTCTCTCATTCAGAGTTTGCTGTGCAGTTAGCCATTATGACTGATGTAGTGTCAACCACTTTTCAACAGAAACTATTGAAACCACATCAATCACAATGGCTAGTTATAGCCTGGGCTCGTTTTTACGGGGGGCAGGGAGGTCACGCGCCCTTCCTCAGTATTATGTGTGTGGCAGTCATCCAGTCACGCATGTGGCTAGACACTGACTTTAGGGCGTCACGAGAATTAGCAAACTTACTCCGCAGACACTTGTTACGTGCTGGCACAGCGACCCGATGCACAGTGGAAACATTGCCTGGCCCTGCACTAGCCCTTTGTTGCCCACTGTGCCAGTCCAGTTCCTTGAGGGGCTTCCTTTTTGCGCTCCCTCTACTGTACCAAGCACGATGCCCGTCTCAAGGGACTGGCCCCTCCTGATAATACGTCCAAAACACATGAGTCGAAGTCTCCGCTGTATTGTACCACTGACAGGGAATTTTCCCTTCAGCCTCTAGGTTGTGACTGCCCAGCAGTAGGAGAATCCACGGAAGGAAGGAGGCAGAGGTTCGCGGATTTGCGGATTGCCATTTCCAGGGACGGCCTTCACCAGAGACGGAGATTTCTGAACAGAAATTTAGAGCTGACCCAGAAGACACAAAGACAGAGCATCCCCGTTGCTGGCCATTTCCTGAAAACCAAAGAAAATGATGGAGCCGCAGGTGACTTTTGCTTTGTTTCATGCTTTCCTCCGCTCCCTGGTAGATTTGTAGAGGTCTCTCAAACATCTGCTCATCTGAAAAGTGTACTTGGAAATGGAGCTGGAGTGTATAAAGCTTATACACTGATTTCAACCTCAGGCAAAGCAGGATCAGAAATATCAGTCATAGGATTAGCATTAAATTGTTGATAGAGCCATCGCCTTGGGGGACACCAAGGCAGTTGTCATATCACATAGTTCACAAGACAATGTTTTACATCCTATTTTGGTGAGTAGGGACTGGGTTCTTAAAAGTCTGTGAGCAGCCATCTGAGGTGCAGCTATTGATCTTTCCCCCTCCAGAAGAAACAAGAAGGGCAAGAATTATAAGGCATGTGGGAAACAATTAGTCTAATGGACTTAGGGCCTCTGCAAACCTAGTAAGTTTACACAACTGTGAGATTAGAAGAACTAGATGGTGCTCCTCCACCATTACCCAGTGCTCTGAATAGGATCACATTAGAAGGCCCTGGGGGAATGGAAGAAAAACAGAACAAAATTCAGAATAACAAGAGACCAGCCTTACTGATCAGACACAGACTGGCGGCCTTTAGTTACCCTTCACTCGTGTGTTAGACTCATCGTCAGAGGCAGCCAGCCTCCAACAACCGAAGGGCCAGTAGGCACACTTGTACGGTGATAATATATGGAGATTATCATAGAGGATAGGAAAGATAGGAGAGAGAGTAAAATAAGGGAGTCAGACCCATTTTATGGTAGGATGCTCACCTCAGCTCCTCTTGATGGACCACGTGGGACTGGGAGAAGTGAGAGAGAACCTTTACTATCTTGGACATTTATAGGTAGCCACAAGATATGCATATTCAGCAGTTACATGTGTCACAAGGTGGGTGGTATCGACATCAAGGTCCCTAAGCTCACAGGCGAGGAAACCTGATACCTGCATTGGGGGAAGGTATGGGGGTGGTGGGGGGCGTTGGGAAGAGAGAAACGGATGTCTGCTTCTGTAGGGAGATAAAATCAACCATGTGCTCCCTTTAAGGCAGCATAGCTTTTAGGGGGAGAATCTGTGGGAATAATACTTAAATTAGAATAATGTACTTGGACGTTACCTCTAACTTACCATAGTGGAGGCTTTCCTACTGTAGAATACCAGTTTTCCAGATTCCCTCTGCTATAAATTAGGGAATATAGTCCCCATCATATTTCTCTCAGGGTTAGTTTCCCACAAATAACCATTTAAAGTCAAAGGGCATCATTTTCCCTAAGGACAAGGTCAAACTGTGATGAAATAAGAAGGAAAGAAAAAAGGAATCATAGGGAGGAAGTGGGATAAGTGATGGTACATTAAGAGGATTGCAAAAAATGAGTCATAACAAACATGTATGAATTGTTGAGTGTCAAACTGGTGATCTGTAAACTTTCACCTGATTCACAATAAAAGGAAAATTTTACAAATCATTGAGTTACTAATAACTGGAATATGGTATGTGATAGATGGAACCTGCTAGCATTAGCTAGCAACTTGGGTTTAATATTTCTCAATGACAAGTAAGAAAATCATAATTTTCAGGATAGGAATTGATTTAGGCAGAAGGAAGATCTGTGTCTTGCACAGTTCAGTAACCTAATAGCATTTTTCCAGTTGTGCACCCATCACTGTGTTGTATACAGTGGCCATGTGGCTCTACGTATGACAACATTGTATAGCACTAAGGAAACACACCCACACCAGGAGGTCTGGTAATACGGTAAGCCTGAACAGGGTAGACTGGTTGTATGAGTGTATGTTTCCTGGGTTATTATATTGTGCTACAATCACATAGGCTGTTACTACTGTCCCAAACCTGGTGAAGGGTAGGTGTGATATCTTAGTTATCTAGTGCTGCAGGAGCAGAAATACTGTAGGTATTGAAGAGGCTTCAAAGAACTAAAATTTGTTTTTACTGTTTATAAGGCATTTGGTTGACTTTTAACTTCAAAAGGTGGGAAGAGGAGACTCACCATCAGCATTAACCCATGGCTGATTTCTGTAAGGCGGAGGTCAGCTATACCTCTGTCCACCTTTTTTTTTTTTTTTAACCAGTTCTGACACGCAGTTCTGATCCTCCTACAGCACACTCTACTTCTTTACAGGGTCTGATCGTTCATTGCAATGGCCATACAGAACTCACAGACAATATTCACAATTAAGGAGTTTATTAGCTATGTTAGACCAGGTTGACCAGAGAAACTAATCCAGGGTCACTCATATATGTGTAAGAGAGAGATTTATATCAAGAAGTAATTATGTATCAAGCAACATCCCAGCCCAGTTCACATCAGGTCCTTAAGTCCAGTACTACTCCCTAAGTCTGATACTAGTCCTTAAATCCCTCTTCAGACTCACGCAGCCACACGCAATGAGGCAGAATGCAGGAAGATCACTGACTGGGTGCAAAGTCTTGTAGATCCAAAGGCAGTGGAGGCATCTCCAGTGCTCTTTGAAGTGGCTCATCAACAGGAAGGTGAAGCAGAGAGAGAGGGGAGAGGTTCCCAGGACCCTTCTTATGAGAAGGCCACTCCCACAAGTAGGTGCCATCGGGCTGTGACCAAATTGACAGGCTAGACTCCACCCCTTCATTTGGTTTATCAAGTTGACACGAGATTATGTAACTACCACATTAGGGAAGTCATGTTACAATTCAGAATCAGAAACACTCAGGATCCAGTTGTTCGATCCGGGCACTCTCCTCCCAGCCATGCCCCCGGGTATACCTATGGGCGCAAGGTATACCCTTGTGGCTCCATGTCCTGCTTTGTTAAAAAATATTCTATTAGCTCTGCCGATAGATACCCATAGACACTTGGATTCACCAGTCAGCCTCCACCCACAGTCCTCGTGGCTATAGGTCAGTGGTTCAGCAATTCTAGCAGGAATTCCCCGTTAAGTACCCAGCAAGCCGGCTCCAAGGCCCCCATTTTTCTTGCTCTGTGGCATTTAGCTGCAACAAGAGGATTTACTTGATTGTTCTATATTACAGATGGCTGAGTGGATGCACAGTTACTGACAATTTTGCTTTTTCTATAAGGTACATAGAATGCAATCTGTATGAAGAGAATGACCCAAACACCTCTCGTCCATTTCAGTTGAAGCATCAGAAGGAAATCACTAAACAGGACCCTTTTGTAACAGGTGTCACTGAGATTCAACGATGTAGCTGTGACGTTTACATGGGAAGAATGGCAGTTCCTGGGCCCAGCTCAGAAGGACCTGTACCAGGACGTGATGCTGGAGAACTACAGCAACCTGGTATCAGTGGGTGAGGATATTCCCCTGTCAGTCTCAGAGGGCACCTAGCCAAGTGACTTTTCTTTCTTCGGCTATTAAAAGCTTTGAAGTGTTTGTGAGCCTTGAAGTGGTAGACTCTCAGTCTGTTCTCTGGTCCTAGATGAGTGGGTATATACTCCCTGCTGCTCACAGAAAAACCTTACTGTGTGAGTGTGGAATTTGATATGTCCCAAAACTCAAGTCCGGTTTGGTGTGTGTCTAAGTCTTCTGTCATTTCCCATGAACAGGGTACCGAGTTAGCAAACCAGAAGCACTGTCCCGGTTGGAACGAGGAGAACCACCGTGGAGGTTAGAAGACCAAATCCATAGTCGAACCTCTTCAGGTGAGTAGATGAAAACCATCAGGGGAGGAAGAGTGTGCAAGTCCCATCCTAATACCCATTGATGCTCTGATGGGTGTCTGAGGATACAGTATAGTGCCTCTGTGTGTCCCTCTCCCATGTGGAACCTCTTTTTCATCGCTGGTTTTAGAGAAAAACACACTCCGTTGCTTCTTCTGCAATCAGATCTTTATTGTTTAAACTATGTCTTGCTGTTTTTCTTGAGACTTTTTTTTGTTTTTTTAACGAAAAACCTTTCCCTTATTCACAACCCATCTCCCTTGTTTTGACATTCCACCTTTCAAAGAGAGAATTTTGAGGTTACTCCATCTACTGACTGGCACCTTCCCTACGTCATTGGATAATGCTAATCTTCTGATGTCCGTTCCCATCTTGGCTTTCTTTGCCCCATGGGAAACTAACTTTCTTACAGTCTGTTTTCTCTTACCCAGAGCTTCTCTAAATGTTTGATTTCATCTATTGTTATAACTCTTATTTAAAGTTTCTTTTATTTTCATAATAAAGTAAGCTCCTTCTGTTCCCAGGAGGAGACTTGTCAATTGACTTCTTCCTTGATATCATAAAATGTAGACTTTAACTAGTTGTCAGTGAATCATGGCAGCCTCATGTATATCAGAGAACTATGCTGCATAGAATTTTCAGTGATGGATTTTGGAGGTAGATTGTTTGGCTTTTGTGTGCACATAAACATCCAAGGTTTGGTTAGAAGCCAAGGGCACTGACTATTTGTATCACCTAAGGACTGCAAATAGACTTTAATTTTATGTATTGTGATATTATCAAAATTTCAGTATCCCCAATGAGCTAGAACCATGTTCCTTCCAAGAAAACTGTATGTGTAGGTTTTAGTACTGTACATCTTAAATTATAGTCATCTTGTTACCTTGAAGGTCAACTACGTGCAGGACCCTCTCCTATAAAGGTGTGTGGTGTTCCTCATGATTTCTTAACAGTGCAGTTACATTAGGAGAAAGGTAGCAAATCCCTCAGCCAGTGCAGCAGCTGACCTGCTTCTAGAGGTAATGGGCTCCGTTATCCCATTGTAATGGATCATTCTTTCCCTTTCTGGGGGAAGAGAGTAGAATGGCTTTACATAGACCAATAGTTGGAGTGTTGATTACTGGAAGTGTCCAGTTACTGTGTGAGAGTGTTTTGGGGAAGTTTGATGGTGGTCTATGGAACAAGAAAGACAAGCGTTGGGAACAGGATCACTGCCCAATCATTAGTTGTTTAGCTTCTGCTGCCTTAGAGCGACTTGCCATTGGCCTCTCCATTGCTAAATGGCCCAGCTCCTAGCCAATGTAGCAGTGCTGGGCAGCTCTCTTAGGGCACAGGCATAGGCATTAATCAATCCCTATAACCCAGGACATGGTAAAATGTATCAAGTCCCAAGTTGTTTGCTCCTTACCCAGGAAATGTCAACCAACCTGGAAAAAAAAGAACAAGCCTTCTGTGGTACAAAACTGTAACAAAGGTAATTCCTCAGTGTTTAAGCTGGTTTTCTAAAGAACCAAGGCAAATGATCTTATTAAAGAACTCATTTCGCCACAGCCTCACGAACATGAAGAGTGCATGTATGCATTACTTAACAGCAGCACCAGGCCTGGTGCATAGTGACCGACCATTCAGTGGAGATTTGTGGAATACATTTCTCCCTCATTTCAGTCTGGTGTCCCTCCCACCTCTGTGGTCTCCTGTAAGAATAACTTGATTAGAGTTGACATTTTCTACGTTTTACAAGGTCTTACTGAGGAACAGCCAAGTATATATTTATAAAAGTATCTACTATCTTACCTTTTGGGTTTCTCCGGTTGTATTTTTAACTAGTGCGGAATAAACATGAAATGTGGAGCTTTATTCATACTTGTAGGATATGGGTGCCAGCCCACAACCAGATGGATTGTGTAATTGAAGGGAATAAATAAAAAGGCAGATAAAAGTTTTTAGGTGCTCACCTCCTCCATGTAGCCAGGTGAGAGGGAGGGAGGCAGGGAGGGAGGGAGGGAGGGAGGGAGGGAGAGAGAGAG